TAAATGGCACTTCATATCAAAAAGGTTGCCGACCCCTGGTCTACATAATTAAGGTAGAATAGGCTATCTATACAGATGGAAGTGACTTTTACACCTCCCACAACTGTGAATCAGATTAATTCCATCTGGTGTTCTGTTTTAAGTTATGTTCATTGTTTGTTGGAGGATGTGTGAAACCCCATTAAAATCTTGTTGCCTTAGAATTTGACAGCTTTTCCTCTTTTTTGTCATGTAGTGTGAAAAAAGGTAACCGTTATTAACATGTTACAACCGTCCCTGGCATGTGTTACAACTGTCTCTGTACACAGGGACAGTTGTAACAGTTGAGTTAAAAAAAATTAAAAAAATTCCAACCTGTACTTATTTCATAGAAACATCTTAAATACATTGTTTCAGTAGTTGACACAATGAGAATGTATAATATAGCAAAATGGCTATCCTAGTGTAAATGTTTTTTTACTTATTGGGGAAAAGCCAAAAAGTGTTACAAGCTGTCCCTGGTCTCCCCTTCATTTTGAGTTGCTGCACATCATTCTGGGTACCCATTGCTGATGGTGTCTTCCTTTGATTTGGACGTTTATAGTAATGATAGAGTACACAGATGCGAGTCATTCAGAATGAAAGCATGCTTTTACAGTGTTGTTAATCCCCCTATGTAAGGCTTCATTGACCCAGAATATTGCCCTAGTTTAAAGCAGGTACTATGACAGGCTGATATATCATTCACAGCCTTTCTGCAGGAGAGGTTAGCATTGGTTAAGCATGCATCTCTCGTACTGCTACCTATATATCCTATTTCAGAATAAAATATATAATTATTTCTCTAACCATTCCCTTTGGTGTCGTCGTCCAGGCTGCTGAGATGCTGCAGCACGCTCTCCATGGGAACCTCCTCCGCTCCTTCAAACTCTCCGCCGACACAATCCCCCAGCACGGCCGCCACCAGCGCTCCCCTGAACCGGAACAAAGACGCCGGGCCGCCCGCTGCCGCCACTCTCGCTGCCGTCATTGCCATTCATCCAACGGGGAACAGACGTCAACCTACACCGAGAAAAAAGTCCTCTGGTCGGCTAACCGGACTGTCAGACAGGGAGAGGATACAGCGCAGGCAACAACAACAGATGTCGGCTGAGCTCCCCCTCAATTCTGCTTCCTGACAACTATGGGATGCCCCTTGACCCCGATGCACATAGAAATACACACATAGAGGGGGTCTCGTGTAGATGTGTCTATCAAGAAACCGGCTGCTGTGGTTTCTATATTTCTGTACAAGGACATGAGTAACAGAGAAGAATATGCAATTAAATGAGACACACTTTATTAATATAGGTCGTTGTCGCTGACTAGTCGTTGAAGGGTTTATATTTGGCCTCAGTTGACGGGTTTTGTCTCTGCTTATTTGAATAATTTTACAAAATAGCTCACTCTTCTCTCGTGCCCGCAGTTTGCGCAAATACTATGTTTTTTACGGTAGTGCAATAGATTTCTTAAGATCGCCCCCTGCTGGATAGGAGTTCTGACACTGACAGGATTAGATTATTTTTCAACACTTGCTCAACATTAACATTATTAAATGGATCAAATAATGTAAAACACTTGAACTGGGAACAAATTAGAGGGCATTTTATTCCCCGTTTGGTCTGGCCCTTTTCTTCATTGTGCTCTGTGCAAATTGTCTAGTCTAGTCTAGTGGATACAAAGTGACAAAATTATGACCACAAGATTCAAAGTGTTATTGCCATATAGAGTAGCTGTTAGCTAGTTATGGAAATGGAAATCTTAAGTCCCAGGCTCCTCCAACGATGCAACATAAATATATAAGACATTAAACAATAAAACACATTTAAAGAACAATATAAAAAACGGGAAATTAAATAGTTCAAACTTATATTGCAAGACCAATGTGCAAGTAATGCAGGAGAAGTGAACTACATATAAAAACAAGTGTTATGTGGCTGATTGTTCTTGAATTAATGAATATAATTGCAGCTGCAGGCCTTTTCTTATCACTTCCAATTAATATATAATCTAAGAATGTTTGTAACCTATTTCAATTGTCTGAATAATCAAGTTACACCTATAGGCTACCCTTACATGAAATGAGTATGGTCAAAGTCATTTCATAGGCTATAATATTGAGAGCGATGATATTTTGCAGATGATGTTTTAGGTACCTACATTTTTCTCTGTATAACACATTTTGTTTAAAAAAATAATAATTCTTACAGTGTTTAGTTGTGTGTGCAATGAATTATATCATATATTATGACAGTCAGATTTTGGGCAAATGTTATGGATAAATTAAATGTGTTTGGTTATTATCACGCTATGTAAACCACACTGTAACCATTAAACTACAATGCCTATTCGTCGCTGAAGGCTTCTGAATTCTCTAATTTCCCCTCCTCGACTCCTATCCTCGTGTCTTAGTCCCGCCCACAGGAGATGCGAGCAGAGGAGTCGAGGAGGGGAATCGAGGGGAGAAGAGGGGAAGCAGCAGGCGTTTAGAGAAATTAGAAATCCTCTCCTCTGAGCGGTCATTTTAAAGAGACGTCCATTAATGATGACAGGAGGCACAGCAGCACTCTGTCTGATGGACAGATGTGTTCATGACGACTTGTACATTTACTTTTAATTCATTCACAGTGTGGTATAATGAGACAATAACAGGCTACAGACGTGGACATATACACACATTTATGGTTGCTGAAATGGGGAGTTGAAATTACGGGCCAAAAGTTTTATTTACAAGTAGCCTATTAAAAGTAAGCATAGGACACCAAACCAACTGAGACCTGTCTGTCCGCCGCATCTACGCACTGTACAACACACACCTACACACTGTACCACATGCACCTACAGCTCCTAAAGCATATAATATCAGGATACAGCTGTTGTGTATTTTATTATGTGAAGAACTAAATGGTTTTAGAAAAATATCGACTCTTTCTTTGTAGATATCTAAACTAAAGCATACAAATAAAGAGAGTAATGTAGGCCTGTTATACTCCTCTCTCCTCGGTTCCCCTCCTCCGCTCGCATCTCATGTGGGCGGGACTAAAACACAAGGATAGGAGTCGAGGAGGGGAAATTAGTGAAATGAGAAAGACCCCCGGTTTACGTAGGCTGGGTCCTCCGTGGACCGCAGGCTGCTAGTCCGAAGGGTGCAGTCCCTGAATTGAGACACGACAGAGAGCCTCCTCGATGCTCGGTCCTCGATGAGCATTTAGAGAAATTAAGGCCCAATCCCAAACAACTCCCTCGACCCTACCCCTCCGTGACGGAGTGAACTCCTGTCAGATGGAGGCAGATGGAGGGAGTAAATATAGCGGTAAGCTTTGGGACGGCCTCCCCTCTCTCCGGCAGAAACAGGAAATGCCGTAACTGTATGTAACAACGGTTTCAAATCTGCATCTCTTGGACAAATGTTTTAATTAATAACTCAAATAAAACTCCGAACATCTTTAATTGTGTTACTTTTTTGTAAAGCTCTTTTAGTTTTAAACCTGATGTTTATAAGCTTCTTAGTTTTTGCAACAGTCTGTAAATATACACCACTTTATAATAAAATGCATAGGTATGACTAAACACAGGTATGACCCTAAGTTAAACAAATGAGGTTGTTAACATCGCAATTTATCAGTGAATGTTTGCAGGAACTGTTTGTAAACAGCTTGTTTGCTGACGGACACACACAGCGCTGAGTCCGGTCAGGTTGGGCAGCAGGTGAAGTCAGCACCGATGCAGACTCGCTGTTTGAGGGCTTGATAGCCCACTACCCCTCCACACTCGTTGGTTTGGAACAGCACTTAATGTGGCGGACCCTCCGCACGAACGGAGGGGTCCCTACCCCTCCGTTCGTGCGGAGGGTCCGCCACATTAAGTGCTGTTCCAAACCAACGAGTGTGGAGGGGTAGTGGGCTATCAAGCCCTCAAACAGCGAGTCTGNGAGTGTGTGGGAGAGAAACTCCCTCTGGAGGGAACTTTGGGATTTTAGTCTTTGCAGACCATTTACATACACAAAAACCTAAATAACACACTACAGGAAATGGAAAAACCCCAAAAGAATAATAGGGCCTCTTTCATACCATGCTTCCCACAAAGTAAGCAGGAACCAACAGAAAGGATTGTTGTTGCTTTGACAAATTCTGACGCAGAAATCCCTCCTCCATCTCTGAGCTATAAAAGCAATTTGCTGTTAACGCCATTTCCCCAATTGCAGCCCCACAAAAGTGGCGGCAGTTATTTCAAGTGTCTCCTGATTGTAGTTCACCAAACAGAACAGCTTTGCACCATTACATTCCTAAACGTTTCATTTCATACTTAAATTAGTCATTCAGCTAAAAGGGGGATTACGTAATCCATTTTCCAAACAAGTGAAGATGGCACTATGCAAAACATTTTGGATCTTCAGTCTAGAGGGAGATTAACTTCCAGGCTACAGAAGGTGTAATTGTAAAGTCATTATTAAACAACAAACCTCTTCAGAAACAATTGGCCATTTTCTACGTAGGAGTTTGTAAAAGTTGTTTTCCGTGAGCATTCTGCTGTTCAGATCACCGAGCAAACACCAAGGTCGCAGCAGTCTTATTCCAGAACAATAACAAAGAAGAGGCCAAAGTTGTCGAGATGATAATAGTGTTCAGCTGTGTCTCCAGCAGAGCACATTTATCACCAAGAACAATGGATAAGAGTTCATTTTGTTTTGTTGAGATTACATGTGGCCATGAGAATTTGAGCCTCGAAACATTACTACTGTTAGATTAATTAAACAAGGCGGGTCATTAAACGTTCATTAAAGCAGATTCAGTAATGCAGTCATTAATCAATGGATCAAAGTATATCCAGTCAGGTACATTGTGTCAGAGAATAATTCTCCCTTACTCCTAAGATATTTAACTTTTCTGCCTGTTGACGTTTTACGACCAACCTTGACTCTGTTATCTCAGTTTATGACCGGTCAACTCTCGGTCACAGAGCCTAAGAGTCAGGCAAGTGATTCAGTGTCTCCAGATGTTGGGGATATCTCTCTGAACTAGTTAAAAGGTCTATCGAGAGAGAGAGGCTGGGCAGAATTCATGTGGCTACCCACCCGTGCAGTCAGAACCTCTGGCTGCTGTGACTTGTGATGTGAAATTCTCCGGCCGATACTTGTAATAAAAACGCCAGTGTTTGACATCAAAGCTCCAACTCTCCTCGTGTCTCTCTGAGTCCTGACTGTCCATTGCCGCAGAAGTTTCCCTTACACATTGAAAATCACTATACCTTAAGAATATGTACGAAACAGCATTACTCTCTTACTTACTCTGGTGTTGCTTTCATACCTTACACTTTATCAAACTTGACTTTATTTAAAGGACGGTCAAGGTTGTATGATGTGCTGTGTGTTTCTGTATGATGTCCTTTTGTTGTTCTGTTGTTTAAGTTTTGATGTCTTCATGTGGAACCTACTGCTGCAGGTCTCCCTGAAAAAGAGATCATTGATCTCAATGGGATTTCACCTGGATAAATAAAGGTTTTGAATTGAATTGAACCAGGCAATGCATTATGCAGCGCACCCTTATCACAGTATAAATCATAAGCCAGCACCCCAATAGGTATCCAGTATAATTACAACAATGCATTCTTGATTCCACATCACTGTCTACTGGGTGATTCTATTTTATGTTTCATGATATTTTATAGATCCTAGCTAATTTTTGTAATAGTAATGTGGAATTTAATGAATAGATGTTTGTCGAATTCATGGATTTTGTCTGTTTAGATTAGAACATGGCAAAAAGTGTGACTACCACCCTGAACATTATCGGAATTTTGCAATCCTATGCACCAGCTCCTTATGAGGAATGGGGTCCTACATAAACATAAGATATCAAGTTATTCTACATTGATCTGCATGTTATCTTCTCACTGGTTTGACTTAAGTGGAAATCAAATTGGAAAAAAATGATGTCACAAGTTTTTAAATTATTAAACTTTTCATAAACTTGAACTTTGATTGGTGTTTATTAAGTCATAAATATGACATGTTATTGAGGGAAATGTCAGTTTTTTGTTCTCATGACTTCTTTTTTTGCCTCAGGGAATCCCCCACCTTGCTCTGTGAGAAAACTCGATCTGTTGAATCAATCTGATCTTGTTTGCTGCAGTTTGTGATGTTCATAGTAGCAGTGGACAGAAAACTGTAGCCTGTCAAGCTGTGGTACAGAGGAGCTGCCTGGATTCTATGTTACCTTGGAAACAAGCATTGGTGTTCCAGCGAGTCAATAACAAAAGGTAAGACTACGACCAATACCCTCAACATGTTTGCTATATCCCCTTCATCAATCACCTGCATCGGGCCAACACTTAAAGTAAATCAGCCAAAACAAGTCATTCACTGCCAGAGGAAGCTTTGCAGCAGACGCCTGAGGATGAGGAGGGACAGCCCACTTTGTCTGAGCCCTGGTCTTTCTATGGGATAAATCTAGGCATGTCAAAGTCAAAACTATTAAAATGCCACTGGGACAAAGTGCCAGACTTTGAAACAATGGTTACCAACCAAATGGCTAGTTACACTACAAACCACTGGATCAATATGGGAGCATTTGGCAGACTGAATTACATTACATTACATTACATGTTACTTGTTAGACGCTTTTATCCAAAGCGACTTACATACTCAATACTGTGGACACTCCCCACAGGAGCAACTTGGGGTGAAGTGTCTTGCCCAGGGACACAACGACATGCTGACTGCAGTGGGGTTTGAACCTGTGCTCCCCTGATCCCAACACCAACGTAATAGCCCACTGCGCCACACGTCCCCCCCACAATTCATGAAATAGTATTGAAATGTATCTCCAAGTTTGCTTAACTATTCTTATCCAAAGTGGCTTTGAATTAATTAAA